TGGCTGGGGTTGAGGCAGCATGGCTAGTTCTTCTCTACCTGTTAGTGCAGATGATGGTCTTAATAGCCATGCAGATGTTTCAGGGGCAGAAGGTCACTGAAATCAGATAGGAAAATAAAATGTAGCTTGTGATGTTGTAACTGAGGAACTCTGTGACCTGTGGATAAATGTTAGCCTCCAGAATACTATTCTTACTTTGCTATCTGGTTGGTTCTTTTGTCTGTCTTGCTTCCTGAGCTCTGCCTTGTGCTGTGCATTGAGTGACTTTGCCTAGAGGCAGAAGGAGTTAATGCAGAAATAGACAGCAGATCAGTCTGGGACAGTCAGACAGAGAGAAGTATCCCAAAAAGCTGGCCTGCCTCCAGCAGGATAAAAGGGTTGGAAATGGTACCAACAGAGCAGTGGGGTTCTCCGGAGCAGCTCTGGGTGAGGATTAGGTGTCAATGCACTTCCACACTACATCATAACACTGACATACCCAAGGTACCTTTAGTTTATATAAAGAAAAGTGATTTGCAAACGCCTGTTTTTCTCTTTGGGCTGTTCATAAATTGAATGAGAAACTCCTCTTTTTTCTCCTTCCACCATTGCATGTGTAAAAAATAAGGGAAAATATTTTTCTTAGAACATCTTCCCTTTCTTTCCTCTTCTCAGCTGCTGTTTTCCAGCCAGCTGCAGAACTGATGAGAAGAGTGGAAGGGCTGTGAGAAGGGAGATTTTTCTGAAAATCAGGCACATTTCTATGGGGCTTGAATGATTCAAAATTGAGTTCTACATAATTCATCAGGCATCTCCTGCAATACGAGTAATAAGTCTGTCAAGTAGTGGTACAGTTGAAGAGGTTATTTCCATCTTAGCTCTCCTAGACACAGCTGGAGGCAGGATGTTTAAAGAGGGGGAAATTACGAGTCAGGATTAAATGACCAAACTCCCCACAACACCTCCATGTTTTGGTTTTATAGGTGTACAAAAGCACTGTTGTATATGAAGGTATATAAAAAAGCTACTGTACTTTTGAATTGTGTATTTTAATTATTGCAAGCAATTAAAAGCTGCTCTTTTCTTACCGGCTGCTCAGTGACCTAAATGACATGAGTGAATGGCTTCGGTCCATTTCTCTTTGAACAAGGAGCTGCACTGAAAATATTACCATTACGTTCAGCTTCCTCGCTGGCAGTCTCTGCTGGGAGGAGAAGGACTGAAAGGGTTAGAACAGCCAACTTTCTTTCAAGTCCTTCCTTCTGGAAAATTTTCTGCTATTGCTAATAGGAGCCAGAGCAACACCAAGAGCATTAGCGAAGGCAAACTGCTGGGGCAGCCGTAGCTGCTGGGGTTGCCAAAACCTGCTGACTTCTCTGCCGGGATCCACCTGGAGCTGCGTCTGTCCTGGCAGACAGTGCTGCTGGAGTGTGGCTCTGCGAGCGGGAAAGCTTCCAGACAAAAGGCCAGTGTTGACATAGTTGTGGTCTCTCCAGGCCACGGTTGAGACACATCACTGGGGTGGTATGAGGGGAAGTTTCCATTAACCATTGTTCCCAGCTTGCTTCCACCACCGCTGTGGAGTTCTGCAGCTGGATTTCCAAAAGACCTCAGTGCTCAAGAGCTCTCGTTTCAGCAGCTTAAATGGAGGGGCTAAGATCTTTCCAAAACACTTGGCAATCATCAGCCCCCATTGATAACAAAGCTAAGCACACTGAACAGCCCAGCCACTTCATTGTTGTGAAAATGTGGCCGCTGTTGTGAGTACAGAGTGTTTAAATAATACAGAGGCTGGCAGTGAAGGCATCTGGCTGCTGATGCTGAGCAGCAGAGGCTTTTCCTTCACCTGGCCTTGCGGCTGGCACTGGAGGCTTCCTCCTTGGCTGATTCCTTGCGCATCACGGCCTCTGACCGGCCCTCTCTCGGGATGTTGTGACAGCTGTGAAGCTTGCTGATGTGAGGATTAGTCGGCTGCTAGGCACATGACGTTCAGATTGCTGTTCTTATTTGACCTACCTCTGATTGCGAGGAATTTAGTGCATAAAAATAACACCCTGAACAAATTTGGCAGAAGGATGCGCAGCTAAAGTGCCATGAATACAGGGGGAGAGGAGGTTGAAAAGCAGTGTAACATGAGGCCACATACTGTACTTCTGCACTAACAGCAGTGCCAAGTCCAGCACAGCCCACGCTGTCATCTTAGGTTACGACGAGTTCCAGCACCACGTAGATGCAGTGGCCATTAGCCAGTAAACTAACGAAGACAGGTTCCTGGCTTGCATTATTGGCAAAACTTGATAGAATAAATACAAAGATACAGAGTGCCAGGAGTTGCCTAACGTAAAACATTGGACAAGGAAATACTGGTTTTTCTGCCTGGGGTTTCATCCACCCTCGTTAACTCTCTTGTGCTCAGTGGAGTTCCTGATCATCTGCAGAGCACACCAGAGCAGAGAGCAAACACAGACTGACAGAGGTGTGCAGGTGGTTGGGAGCCTGCGAATCTCTTCCAGCATAATAGTCTTCAGACTCCTAGGTAATAATGCTTAGCTGTGCACATAATTTTTTCAGGCTCTGCATTAGTGAAAGCAGTCACCTTTACTGAGCCTTGCTTTGAAGGTCCTTAAGGACCTTTAGTACGGGGAGCTTGGACTGGGCAAAGCAAAGTTCGAGCAGGTGGGTAAGAAGGCAGGATTGTGGTTACTGCACATTCCTCTCCCGGATTACTTAGAAGTGCAATGCTCTTTGTTTTAGTGGTTTGTTGTTTTTTTCTCTGGGCAAGACGCAATACCTCAATATCCCATGTTGAAAAAGAGCTTTTACGCCCTTTCCTTCTTTAGAGAGATCTTGTAAAATTTCACTTACAAACCTCATGTAATTGTGTCATATGGCATATTGTAGATAAATGATGTCAGCTGATAGTCTGTACCTAGAACTTTAGCAGTACTGCAATACCTGTGCTTCTGTTGAGGGCAATTAGAAAGCTGGGGCAAATTTCACAGTCTGCGTGACTCTTAGAAATACCCTGCATGCTCACTGAAAATGTTATGAGGTATTCAGAAATAGTGGCTTGCTTCATTTTTATCTGCATTACTGAATTTGCAAGCTTTGTACCTGTGTGTTTCTCCATATTGGTCTGCATTAAGGAATATCTGGTTGCTCTGATACAAGTATGCTAACATCAAAGGAAGCTTTCCTGCATTTAATCCTTTAAATAAGCCTGTTTCTGCCAGCCCATGTATCTGGAATGAGATTAGCTATCCATTTAAAGCAAGGTACAAAAATGTCTTGGTTTACTGAGCCTTCTGGGCTGGCTTTAAAACAGTTAATAGTTTGGATTTCCCCACCACCCCCTTTGAAGACAGTTTAGCTTAAACACCTATTAACCAATGTTGTCCCCAGGTCTGACCAAAAAGCCTTTCTGCCAAAGCTGCCCACAAGCGGAGTCCCACTGCCCGTGTCCTGCTGCCTGTGACCCTGGGGTTGGTCTGCACCTGCACAGCAGGCCGAGGTGGGCTAATCACCATCCCATGGCTGCCCGGCCCTGAGCACATGGTGCTGCTGGGCTCCGTGAGGAAGGCTGCCAGGAAGCACCGAGGCCTTGGCAGCAGCAGCCATGTTGTGCAGCACAGGAGGAAGCGCGGCGTTGGCGCAACACGGGCAGATGAATTCTTTCCTCTTGCTCTCTCATACAGATATATATATATTAATCAAATAACTTTGATCCTCCTTTTTTCTTCTCCCAGGCCCTTACTAACCTTTCCTGGAAGCTGATTTTATCAGTGCTATTTTAAAATGGGAGTTACAAAAGACAGGCTCCCTGTCAGTAAGCCCTGGTTTGCACAATGCAATCCCCCGGTGCATTTTCTGCGCAGTTCCAATATTGTTGCTGCAATCTGTTAGATTAAAATAAAACTGTATTGTTAACAGTGACCTTGATTTGGAATTAGAAATGACACTTCATGTTTACCATTTTACGCTGTCAATATTACAGATGCAGGCACGAATAGGGAAATATTATGCAGTCACAGGATGTTTGTGTGGATATTATGAAAGCCACCATCTCTCTAAAGTCAAAGTGAATCAACTAATAGCCAAAATTATAAAGGAATATCTACTTCAATCACAAGTTCTTCTGAAGTCAGTGAGGCTGGTACTTCTGAGGCATGTGAAAACTCCTGAAATTTCTGCCCATGGGGAAAGGCAGCTGACCTTAGGATCCTATTTTTGGAACCTTTGGTTGAGATTGTAAATTGGAGTTGTAGTGGGAATGCTGCCTGTACTGGGCTTGTCACACTGGAGTCTTGAAGGCTATACTGAAGGTTAAAAAAAGAGAAGTAGATGTGATAATAGTTCTTTTCTTGCAGTAGGCTCCTTTTAAATAGTTCTTATAAAAGAGCAGTAAACAGTGTGCATAAGAGTTCTTCCGTTTTTGCAGAGCATCACTGTAGCCTGCTATGTTGCTGGTTTCCTTCACCGTCTTTAAAACGTTTCCAGTAAGATTTCTGAGAGAACAGTTAGCACCTCCTTAGCAGAGAGCTGTGGCACAGCTTGACTGTACACTTTGATGAGACTTTTTTCCTATCGCAACTAATACACCTTCAGATTCTAGAAATCTTTGTGTGAGAATAAGAGGAAAGATTGCAGTGCAGTGGATAAATCAGACCTAAATGACAGCACTTACGATTTGTTCCTGAGGCTGTGATCGTAAGGCACAGGTTGGAGCGGTAAGCCCTCTGCCTGCACTTGAGAGCAGCTCTGCTGGGTTCGTTGATCCTCAATGGGCACGTAAGATTAGCAACCAGAATTAGGAACCAGTTTTGAAAAGAACGGCATGAGCATGTCGGGACCTGAATGTGCACCCTGCAGATGGGCAATCTAATATTTGAGCAGAGTTGCTACCAAACTTACAGTGAAAGCTTAAAGAGTTATTGGTATTTACAGAGCCTTTAAAATCCATGCTCAGTGATATTATTTACATAGTTTCTTCTAACAGCTGAATTCTTCCTTTATTTTTGTAGGTCAAATCTTGCCAACGAACCGAAACACACCAAGTCCTATTGATCCAGAGACCATCCAAGTTCCTGTTGGCTACGAACCTGACCCCGCAGATCTTGCTCTTTCCAGTATTCCTGGCCAGGAGATGTTTGACCCTCGTAAGCGCAAATTCTCTGAAGAAGAGCTGAAACCACAGCCAATGATTAAGAAAGCTCGCAAAGTCTTCATTCCAGATGATCTGAAGGTAAATTGGAACTGGTGACCAGTTTGTTCCTACACAGACCCTAAGACAGTAGTTCTCTCAGATGCGCATTAGGAGCATGAATCTGTTTGCTCATGTAGTGTAAATCTGCCAAACTAAAAATGACATTTTTTGTAGAATAAAACTGTCAGTGGTTCTGAGGAAGATTGAGGGGAGGATGTCCCTCATGTGTTAATCAACAGTTGAAATTCGTATCAATATTAATTTCCTTTGTATGCCAGAAACTTCCTGCGTGACCTTGGACAGGCTTAATTTGTCCCATATTTCCCCCTTACAAAACAGTCTGATCATGTTTCCTTTTCCTCCACCCTGTCTGGCTCATTGGCATAGTCTGCAAAGTCTTCAAGGAAGAATTCCTCACTCACAGAGCGTGTCTGTGGAGACAGAATAAAATATGTTTTGTCTTGTTTGGAAATTTCTTTAGCTCTGTGTTTTAACAACAAATGGGAACACCACACTAAATGCTATTAATTTAAGTGAAAGAATCTAAAACTGTTTAAGGAAAGTCAAAGAAAATAATTCTGCCAGTAAGTGCATTTTAGTACAATATTTAAAACATAATGCAATAACAGCACAGTATTTAAAAAGAGGAAGCACACTTGTTTATGTCTCTCACCATTTCTGAGATGTGAAGAGCAAAAACTCCTCAGAAGAGAGCTGAACAAATTGACCAGCTGATTCAGTTTATCAAATAACTGTGAAAATTGTCATTATTTTCAAAGTTCCGTTCCCAGCATGTGATTGCCAAGAGGACCTTTTTATCAGAAGTAGTCAGTGCAGAGTTTCATCCTGCTGTTGCTCCCTGAGATACAGATTGACAGCCTGTTGGAAGAGGGAATCTTTGGCGGTGTGTGCAAAGAGGCTGTGGTGCCACGTGTGTAAACCACAGTGATAGATTTAGGGAAAGAAGCTGATGCTGTTTGCTATTTTTATCCCTAAGGATAATGTTGTGCAAGCTAAAAGCAAAGAAAGCACAGTCCTGGTGGTGTTCAGGTGGTAATGTTGCTATCACTTTGTAATGTCCTCTGTTTTCATTCAGAAAGGTTTCTCTGTACCATGCCATTATTTTTTCAGACAAATTTTACTATTTTTGATGCTCTGTTGGCATTGCAGTGTACTGTGAGGTCTACCTAAGTAGAGAAGCTCAGTACAGAAATGGCTACACGGATGTAAGGAGAGGGAAATTTGTGTCGTACATCATTTTGTGGTATCTCCCAGGTATCCTTGCTAGCCAAAGTTAGCTTTTGCCAAAAATGCCTCATAACAGAGGCAGAAAATGTCACTGCCTGGCACACAGCAGTGGAGCACATAAGTTTTCAGTCTAAGGCTAGAAATACAGGGTCTCATTTCCCTGAGATAACCACACCAGATGCCCTTGACTCATTTCAGAATGCTTGACCCAAGTGCTGCTTCTGCCTGGCATGTGGAATGGCTGTTGAGTTCTCGGGGAGGGTAAGCAGATTAGACCAGTCAATCGTCTCTGGTTGCATGTGATTTTGAAATGCCAGCCTTACCTCTTTTGGGCCTGGATTAAGGGATTTGCCGCAGCAATTTGTTAAAATAAAGATGGATGAAGCCTAGGTGGCACACTAATAAATTGCTTAAAGCTGATTTTTTTTTGAGTGGAATGAGATGGGAAATTATAAACAAGATTTGGGTCATAGCTTTTTGCTGCATGCTTGTTTTTAAGAGGATTTTGGGGGGGGTCCTGTCTCAATGCAGGTAAAAAGCAATTTAGAGATACACTGGCTCCAAATCATCATTACTGGACACCTGGCTCAGCTAAAATAATGCAAAGCAGTTGTAGAGTGCTTCTAGCTGTCATTTTGCTCTTGCTTTGCCTTGTGCAAGCAGCAGCATAAGATGCAGAGCAGCTGCATTAGTCTTGGCAGGTTTCCTGCAGAGAGACAGAGGAGTGGGTGGTGTTTCCCTGCTTGGTAGGGACAGATGGCTCTTAGATCTCACCCAGGAGATGGGGCTGTGCTTCCATGCTTGGTAGAATAGGAGAGCTGCACTCAGAGCGTAAGAAAATGTAAGCTTATAAAAATGGAAGGATGGTGCTGGGAAGGGAAGTTGGAGCTGTATGGCTCCACCAGGCAGACTGAAGGCTGAATCGCTGTGTCACTTTTTCTTCAGGGGTCTGAATTTCACTTTTCCTAAGAGATTCTGCCCACTTTGCGTTTAGTGAATTGTTCTTGAGCTTAATTAACTTTCATACCAACAATGATGCTACTTAGAAGAGTGGAGAAATCAGATGAAATTAAGTATAAAGTTAGAGCTGAAGGAAATCTCCTAGAGCTGAGTCTTTTGGGGCAATGCTTTGGGAACGTGCTGACTTGTGAAACTTTGGAGGTGAGCGAACCTATTTCTGGCAAATGCTTTATTCTTCACTGTTAGAGTCCATTGCATGAATCTCTTTGTGGATGGTACCAAAGCAGCCGTCCTTGTTTTGCCATTCCTGAGTTGGCTGTGAAGCTGTGCCAAGAAAACTTCTTCTAGTGACTTCCTGTTCTGGTGTGCAAACACGAACCCTTTGGGGTGCTGTAGTGAAAGCTCTGAACAGAGCGAAGAGCCAAGCAGCAGAGGATGCGATGGCTCCAAAAGAGAGCCCCAGGTGTTGGGTGACAAAGAGGAGCAGGGCCATGCAGGTATTAATCGGTACTGCTTGAGCAACCGCTTGGGAGTCATGGCACACGTAGGTGGATGTGCTAAGTAGGTCAGCATAGCTGTGAGATGGGTCGGACCAGAGTATCGCGTTGGTTTTCCTTGGAGGAATTCATTCTCAGGAGGATGAGAGGCTTTGTGCAAACATTTTGGCAGAAATACCAGCAGAGCTCTGTGCTCACAGGGCTGTGCCTGCAGGTCTGTAACTTCTGTCCCTGCCTTGTCAGGGCTCAGTGGGACACTGAATCGGAGTATCACAGAATCACGGAATCACAGAATGGCCCAGGTTGGAAGGGACTTGAAGGATCATGAATCTCCAAGCCCCTGCCACATGCAGGGCCACCAACCTCCCCATTTAATGCCAGCCCAGGCTGCCCAGGGCCCCATCCAACCTGGCCTTGAGCTCCTCTAGGGATGCACACGGCATCCACAGCCTCTCTGGGCAGCTGTTCCAGCACCTCACCACTCTCATAGTGAAGAACTTCCCCCTGACATCCAACCTCAATCTTCCCTCCCTCAACTTCAAACCGTTTCCCCTCATCCTGCTGTTATCTCCCCTTTCCAAGAGCTGACTCCCCTCCTGTTTGCAGGCTCCCTTTAGGTACTGCAGGCTGCAATGAGGTCACCCCGCAGCCTTCTTTTCTCCAGGCTGAACAAGCCCAGCTCCCTTGCCCTGTCTTTGTAGGGAGGTGCTCCAGCCCCCTGATCATCTTTGTGGCTCCTCTGGACCCTCTCCAACAGCTCCGTCTGTGTTGTACTGGGGGCTCCAGACCTGGACACAGCACTGCAGACGGGCCTCACAAGAGCAGAGCAGAGGGGGACGATCACCTCCCTGTCCCTGCTGGCCACCCCTCTGCTGATGGAGCCCAGGATCCCATTTGCTTCCTGAGCTTCAAGAGCACAGTAGGCAAACTCACAGCAAAGCCGGTGGGGCTGCACAGGGAGCACATCGCACGGACCGCTCCCTGCGGGACGTCTAACGGCTCGTTTGTGTCTCCCTGTGTTCACTGAGCAGGACGACAAGTACTGGGCGAGGCGCAGAAAGAACAACATGGCTGCCAAGCGGTCGCGGGACGCGCGCCGGCTGAAGGAGAACCAGATCGCCATCCGGGCCTCCTTCCTGGAGAAGGAGAACTCGGCGCTCCGGCAGGAGGTGGCCGACCTGAGGAAAGAGCTGGGCAAGTGCAAGAACGTGCTGGCCAAGTACGAGGCGCGGCACGGCCCCCTGTAAGGGCGCGGGGAGGGGAGGGGAGCGGGGTATTTTTTCTTTTTTCTTTTTTTTTTTTTGTGTTTCGTTTTTGTTTCGGTTGCGGGTTGGCATTTGAATAGATGGACAATGTGTTTCCTGTTTGATAGCACCACGCCCAAACCAACCTTTCTGTCTTCAGCACTTTACCAGAAGCAGAAACAAAACTGACTTCACGTTATTTTCTTTTCGTTTGCGTGTGCGGCGCATCTGTGTGCACGTGTGTTCACACCTCTGTGTGTGTGCATGTGTGCATGTGTGTGTGCGTGTGTGTGTGTGTGTGTGTGTGCACGCATCTCAGCACTTCCCATTTTTACAAAGCCCTCTTCGAAGGGTGCCACATTTTTACCTGGACTGTTGAGAACCGCCATAGTAAGCTTTTTATTACGTTGGGTTTTTTTTTCTCAGTGCTGCTTCGGATTAGGGTTTGTACGTTCTTGTAACCGGTTCCATCCTCCTGACTCACTTGGAAAGATCCCAGTATAAATTATATTTAAAAAAAAAAAAAAAAAAAGGAAAAAAAAAAAGAAAAAAGAAAAAAAAAGTAGGGCTCAGTTTTTCGAGAGTAACAAGCTGTCGTTTAAGTACGTCTAATCAGAAAAGTTAACATGCTAATAAAGTGCACAAATAATAATTTAGTACTACACTGCAGAAATATTAATTTATAGATTGCTTTTGTTGTATTTTAAGTTCTGGTGATAATTGTCTTCAGATTTAAAGTGCTGTTAGACTGAGTTAGCTCTACTCATTATAGACCCCATAATGGCTTCTCTGTAGCTATTAAGGTTCCTTTTATTTCCACGGACCCCAGGTAGGTAGGAGTACTATTGATAGACCACAGAGTGTGTACTTTGCACTGTCTGTACCTGAAGCAATAATCCTATTGTACGCTAGCGCATGCTGCCTGGATGTTCCTAGTGGACGTAGGATGGTTTCCCTTCCCAACAGGAGTTTTAATGTCTGTAACAAAAAAGAAAAAAGACACGTTCATGTGAGCATGCTAATTGTATCCCTGCTATAGGGAGCGCATGTATAAGAAGCAGGGTAATTACCTGAAATGACAAAGTTAATAGCATCAACTCAGATCTGGCATTGGAATCAGAGGGGCTTTTCTGTTTTCAGTTAGTTACACATTTCTTCGAGCTCCATTTTGTGATTAAAAATTAAATAACCTGAATTCAGTTGTTTTTTTCCCATGTTGTGTAATATATTTTCTGTGGATTATATCTTGCTGTTATAAAAATCACTTTGATTCAGTTAGAAGAAGTCACTGGTTTGCAAAGCCCATTTCTCCTAGTGGTTGTTGTTTTGAGTGTGACATGAACTGATGGTTCTGAATTCTGTTGTTTTAAACTCTCTCTTTGCTTTTGAACACTTATGTTCGAATCTAAAGTGGACTTCTGAGAAATGAATGTAAGAGACACTGGTGTATCTCAGAGGGGGATGGTGTTGTCATATACTGTGGTTAATCCAATCAATCTAAGTGTTTACTATAGACCAAAAGAACAGATATTATAAAATGTATAAAGTTTATACAGAATAATTATAGTATGTTTGTTTTGTACAGTATTTTTCAAGTACAAATACTGACAGTGTATTTTGAAAGACATATATTATATATAACAAAGAGAAAAAGCTATTCCATGTTTAAAATATATAGCAAAGATATATATTCTCCATTATTGTACAGAAAGGAAATGCTTAGGAGGTTGTTGGTTGGTTTCAGTTTTTGTTTTGTGAACCTCTCGTGTTTTAAGCCTACCACTGGCACACTGGCATGTTCTGTGCTTTAAATTAAGTTGTTATGGAAGTAGTGTGGCTTTCCAGGCTGTTCAGTATTACTGAAGAAGAGAGACTTGCTTATTTTCCATTGGAAACACGTGACAGATCTGTTTCATAGGGACAAAGCACAATATGGATTTTAGGCAACTATTGATTGGACAGTGCAATTTCTAAAGGCAAAAAACAGCATGCAAACCCCAGACTCACTCACTTCTAATCTGCTGCTGCTGCTCGAATCTGTTTCCAGGTGACCTTTTTTCTGATGAATAGCTCAGTTCATGTGTACGGTTGTACGTAGTGCACATGGTCATTCACATGTGAGTAAAATACGGTGCTACATGTCCTGCTCACTGTTTCCTGAGTGTTTTTGGCATTGTTTTCAAATAAAAAGGTCGTTCATTCCATTAAACAATGATTCAGGAGATGCCTACAAAGGACCCGACATTTTGTCCAGCATTACAGACATCCGTGCACACTGACGTTTTCCCAGTACTTGATCTCAGACCCAGCATGTCCCTCAGCGCGCAGTACTCGCCCGTGGACCTTGAACTCAGTGAGCTCAACTTTCTTCCATGTGCTGCAGCAAAGCTTGGAGTGCAGTCAGTTCTTTTCTAGAGCTCAGTGTAAGGCACTGAATGCACAAATGGAGAAGCAGGAGGCAGCGGCCAGCACAGCTGAGCCTTCATCATCTGCTCTGTGCTCTGGGAAGCAGAAGTTTGCTTTCCCTTTGGCGCTGCGTGGCGGTGGCGGAGCTCCCCAAGCAGCCACTGCCACGGATGCATCTTTAGCAGCTGCGCAGCAATTGGCAGCAGTTTGTCATCAGCATCGCTGTGAGCATTCTTGGAGTGGTGCCTGAAAAGCAGAAATGGTGGAAATGAAATCAGCTGATGTGGAAATGGTGAGAACCATTGGTACGCTGCGTTGTGACCACAGAGTGCTCCTTAAAGGAGCCCGAGGGCTTTGGGTGCTCCCTGCACGACACCCTCTCAGAGCTCAGGACTCGTGGCCAAAAACCTGGCAGTGACAACAGGTTTTCCAACCAGGCTGTTTCCCCAGCGTGGCATAAACCAACAGGAAATTCAGCTCATGTTCAGCTCCGCGGCTCAGTTCAGCTGGAGTCATCACAGCTCTGATGGCTGTGAAGGAGCTTGCAGGCATAAGAAACTCTCATTTTATAAAAATAGAAATATATGTATTTGCAGAATAAATACCAGCATGTCTAAATAATTCACTGACCTCTACTAAAAACGTAAGCATCAGTAAAATGCTTAATTTCTATTTCTTTACCTCCGGATCTTAGAAGCGAATTCTTTCTTTTTGAGAAGGAATATCCTCGACACAAATGGAATCTGAGACGTATTTGTGAACATGAGCACCTTGGGGAGCTGCTTTGGAAGGTGCGTGGCAGAGGGCAGGGGAGTCCTTTTCTTTCTTTCCAATGGTGCTTTGGGGTCACTGGATCTGACACCATGGCAGCACTGTCTGACTTGAACTCACAGAAGCAAAGTGCCCCTGGCAGCACTGGGGCTCTGTGTGCGCTGTGCTGCCTGCAGCACCAAAGGCTCCTGGCCATGGATCATCTTGCCTCTGTGGGTTTGTAATAACCCCAATTATTGCTTAAAAGCTATTTTTGCATGTGACTTACAATAGGGATGTGCAGTTTTATTTTTATTGAGGTTTTTTTTTTTTCTATGTCAAGAAGGAAATATATGTATGTATTAAAACAAGTGATCAACCATTGTATTTCTGGCAACACCACGAGACAGCATCTGTTTAAACACAAGTTTAATAAGATCAAATTAACTGTACAACAAGAAATGGATTGCATCCTGTATGCTGTTCAGCCCAAATCTTATTTTATTTTTGTCTGTTATTCTCAATGTTTAATAAACTTTTAAATTTGTCTTCTCTCAGCTGCGTGCTTCTCTGTCGGTGCTGGGAGGGCTCTGCTCCCGCTGTTCCCGCACACGCTGCTCTCCAGCAGAGGATTACTGATGTATTATAGACACACAGCACAGGTGATGGGGCCAAATAGAATGTATCCATGTTTTATGCATCCGTATTTTCCAGCCCATCTAAATACACACACATATAAGCGTATGTATACCCTAAGCATGCACGCTGTGCACACACGTACACACACACACACGTACACACATGTACACACACACAC